TACAATACATCCTACAACACCAAGAAACCTGACCAAGAATACAATACATCCTACAACACCAAGAAACCTGACCAAGAATACAATACATCCTACAAAACCAAGAAACCTGACCAAGAATACAATACATCCTGCAACTCCAAGAAACCTGACCAAGAATACAATACATCCTGCAACTCCAAGAAACCTGACCAAGAATACAATACATCCCGCAACACCAAAAAACCTGACCAAGAATACAATACATCCTGCACTAAGCTTTTTTAAACGCACGCTATCCTATCAACAACGATAGCTCATCAAACACGCAGTCGGATATTGCTTCTACTCTATTCGACCAATCACAGTTTGTTTGCGTAATTGCAGTAGACAAAGGTTATCGCTGCTAATCATTTTCTGAACGTTCACACTTTACATAAAGCTTCACCATGGCACGTTCCATCAATGTTTTTCTGCTGGCTCTTACACTAATTATCTCCGTTAATCAATTTGCAGGTGAGTTAAGAAGTTCAATTTTAGTTTTGAAGAAAATATAAACCTTTAAATTAAGATACCACTGTTTCACATCACTTGCATTCAATTCAATTGATGACCACTCAAAATAATTTGACTCCAATTTTACTTTCGTATTCTACTTCCGTTATCTGCCTTGTTTTCATATTATCTACATTGAAAATCTACTTTCAAACCGTGGCTCGCTGTGTTAAAATTATTTCGAACCGAAAAGCTTTTCATCTTCAATATTTTGGGTATCAAATTTATTGTAAACAATTCTTAAAGTCAGGGATTTACTGAGCTGAAAAAGGCTATTGAATACGCCCACGCGTAACATCTAACGCTGAAGATATATTTTTGTTTTTATTTTCTGATATCCATTAATTTTATTATATCTACTTTATGAAGGACAGAATTACAAGAGATATTCGTTGATAACACAATGCAAATCAGAGACCTGAATTTATAAATGTCAATAATTGAAATGAAAGTTTGTTCTACTTGGGTTCTTGTTTGATTTGCATCATAGATCTGACAGTAACGTTAATCCACCGGTGATAATCCTTTTCTAACTTTTTAAACTTCGTTCTATCGAAATTGAACTAGTTATTCCTTGACATTAAATTGATTGACCATATTTGAAGAACTTGAAGCGAAAAAGCGAGAAGAAATAACGTTTTTCTGGATTGATCGCTAGGTTGTATTTCTTCATTACCGACTCGAGTTGACAGGCGTCTGGGGTCAGTCAACCTTGATTGATAGATCTGACAGTTAGGTTTATCCACCGGTGATAATTCTTTCCTAACTTTTTAAACTTCGTTCTATTGAAATTGAACTAGCTATTGATTGACCATATTTGAAGAACTTGAAACGAAAAAGCAAGAAGAAATAATAGCGTTTTCTGGATTGATCGCTGAGTTGTATTTCTTCAGTACCGACTCGAGTTGACAGGCGTCTTGGTCAGTCAGCCTTGAAAGTGCTTCAAATTCAATTAATTACCATAATGCCATAAAAACATGATATTGAAGAAATTTGGAAAACATGTTGGCCTTTTTAGTAGCCAAGGTTAATCTCAAAAAAATAACTCCATAACCCAAATTTTAACTTAAATATAACCACAGGGTTATATGTGCAAATTTGGTTTTAGTCAAATAATAAGGTATGAAAACATGTTTGGACGAAAAGTTTGAACAATTCTTAGGAAAAATTAGGAGAATTTTACCCCATAGAGTTCCTTGTCATTGAACTTGAATGATGCTCGAGCTTCCTGTGTCCTTGCATGGTGTGACAATAATTGTCCGCCATCTTGGAGGTCCCTTTTTTATTTCCTCTTCCTTATCCCTCATTACCAGGATCCTATTTATTCTATCGAGTCTTATCAGCAGAGATTTTTTTCATAGCGATAATTCCTTCGTCTGTATGTAAATACAACAGTTTTAACACTAAGATGCTTCAAATTACTTTCTGCAAAATATAACTACTTGGCCGTTTTTGGCGTAATTCCAATTGAATCGAAAAACAATAAATGACCAGAAATGCGCATTTGGACAAACAATAAAACTTTAGTAAATTTGATCAAAAATTTTCACTTCTTTCCGCGAGCTTTTTAGTAACTAAAAATGTTTGATCTTCATATAGATGGTTTTAATCTCCCAGAAGCAATTAATGGTAGAATAGAATCAAAACCCGGAAAAAGATGTCTTCTATATCGTTGGGACGTGAAAAATCTAAATCAGCCATGCACTCCTCCTGACTTTAACTTTACGCTCTCAATACTACTATTTAAAAGCTCTGGATCCAGTATGACAGAGATAGAACAGGACGTTTATTCCAGACAACAACCGGGTAACAGCTCAATACAGTCTTTCTCAGAATGCCTCTACGACAGCAGTGAAAATATTTCATGTTGTCAAGACATCAGCTCCCAAGTCAGAAACAAAACGTCTGGACGTGAGGTATCTTTTTCTAATTTCGAGAGGATAACTGTAGCTGTCACGATTTGCGCAGGAGGAATCAATAGTGCGTTCTCTCCTGGACCGGCAAAGAAAATACTTCCATGTAAGTTATCCAGATAATATTGAATTATTGTTAAACTATTCTTGGTTCGTTGTAACTTCATAGCTGTAGCCATGTTGGTTGACATGTCCTTGAGAAAATATTTGGTCTTTTTTTGTTTGTTTGTTTGTTTGTTTGTTTTATCAAGTAACATGGTAGCCACCTTTCCGGCTGATTCTGCTCTTGCGAAGGGAGCCACAGTGACCTTAGCTTTTCTAGACTATGATGCATAGATGTTTTTATTGTCTATTTGAAGGGAGAGATCCTTGCTTCACGTATAAACCATGTCAACAACTTGAGTTTGCAGTTTGTAATCCTGCTGTGGACGACTACTACTGTTCGTGTCAATATCAATGGACGGGGAAGAACTGTACTGGTGAGTGATGACCGATGATGATGTTGAGGATAAAATAATAATAAAATTATTAAAATTAATATGGTTATTTGTGTCTCACTGATGATGGCACTGTCGTGAAGAATGATGATGATGATGATGCATCAGTACTTGGGGATGGTGATTACTGATTGTGACTTACTGAGGATGGATGGAACTAATGATGGCACTGATGACGAATGATGATGATGATGATGTATCACCGCTTGATGATGGTGTTGGTGATTACGGATTGATATGCCTTACGATGATGGCAGGTGTAGTTTAATCTAGTGATACAAGGTGGTGGTCGTCTTGATTAGAGGTTTTTTAGTTGCCCCAAATTTTCCAAAGTCTCAACTCATCAACGAATACAATAATAAATGACTTTAGATTAAATAACTCTCTTATCCTTGCTATATTTTTAACGACATTCCAAGCATATACTTAAATAAAGTTCATTTTCATCTTTCAAGTACCAAGATACATGACGGACATGACGTACCATGCTAGTAGATGCCTGAATGTTTCATCAGAAACTGGTGTACAGCTTCTGTACGGGAAGAATGTAGCACAATGCAAGTCTGTTTGCTCAGGATCAAAGTAAGTACTACATTTAGTTAGATTTAATAGGGAGAGCTTAGTTATACCTGAGTTGGCCAATGAGAATGAACTCCGGATTCCTGAAGTTAAGATATTGGTTTCTAACCAAGGATAGTGTAGAGATAGCGCTCTCACTTCTTACTTCTAGGTGTAATACTCATGGTCGTGTCCAGCATCACATGAGTGTGAATAGAGTTTGTTAGCTCCGTCCTTTGATTAAAGGGTTTCATCCGCCGGGATTCTCTGGTTTTCTTCCCTCCTCAAAACCCAACACGCTAAATTCCAATTCGTTTTGTGAGTTTGTCATGCCCTCACGTTGATAAGATGAAATTTGAAAATGATTCAGCAGGTTTCAAAGTCAATAATCCTCAGTTTTCACACGACAATATTGAAAGTTAAAAAAAAAAAGATTGCCCAAATCATTATATTCTGTAATTGCAGATTTTGTCGATTGATGTTGATAAGGATATACAACGATTGTTGTCAGTCATGATGAGAGATTTGATGTTTTTCAGTAAAGTCTGGAATACACCTCAAAACCAAAATCGACTATCTTATTTTCGTTACAGAGTGATACGAACGTACCGTGTGCCTCAATTTCTCATACTCATTAATAATTCATGAGTAAACCAGCCAATCAACGGGCTATTTTTGAGTCACATGATGTTACTTGAAACCTGGTAAAGTGCTGTGAAAGGAATGCATTCAGTCTGGAGCAACTGGAACAAAATTAATTCAGTCTGGAGTAACTGGAACAAAATTAATTCAGTCCTAGGACTGAATTAATTTTGTTCCAGTTACTCCAAGTCGAATAATTAATGAGATGAGAAGTCATTTCAAAGCCTCCAATATCGGACTGGACGGGATTTCAAGTCCGCGCAACTAATTGCTTTGACTTGAAATCCCGTCCAGTCCTCATTGTCGGCTTTGAAATATTACTTCAAGCACTTGACCATGCAATTGCAAAACTATATACAGTCAATGTCATTAACGTTGTCCACCGAAAAGAGACATTTACACATTTACGCATTTAGACGTTTACGCATTTACACATTTACACATTTAGACTAAAAAATATATCACGTGTTTCCTTAAACGTTCTGGCATAAAACAAAAGCTGAAATACCATGTTCCATCTTAAATTCTCACTAAATGGTCGGGGCATTCTGGATTTTCGATTCACGAGTTGAATTTTACATTTAAAGTTCATTTATATTTCTTTTAGCCTAAATGCATGTTAATGTGTAAATGTCTTTTTTCGGTGGACAACGTTAAAGACATTGACTGTATTTGTATCTTTGTTTGTCCATCATACTTATAGGTGCAAATCGTTTGAGTTCAGAAGAACGCCATCTAGTCTCAAAGGCAACTGTACTCTTCGTTACTCCAACAGTCTTCAGCACAGACTCGTACCATGTGATGCAGATCTCTACCAATTGAAGAGTTTTTTCTCTTCTACTGATGCCCCCAGTTCAAACAGCACTGCAAGTACCCCCACTAAGGAACATGGTTGCCTATCTACAGCAGTAATAGTGATAATAGTAATCATTGGAGTATTAGTTCTTGCCTTTATAGTAATTGTACTTGTAATAAAACCATTTGAAACCATCACGACAACGCCCTCCCGATCCCATAGCAACCTTGGAGCCTTGCCTCCTGGGACACATCCTAGAGATCAAGAGACGACCCCACTGGCTCCAGATAAGGATTAATTTTACGGCTATCAAAGCAATCTTTCTACGCCATGATGTGTGACTCACCGAACTTCAGGCTCGTAGAGGTCAGGGAAAAACATTTATGGCATGCACCATGTGACATTTCCTTGAGAATAATTCCTTTGACATTTGAGTAAGATAAAAATGGATAGTTTGAATAGATAGCGAAAGCAGGGCATAAAAATTACTTTAAAACTACGCTGCAGCTAACCGAGGTCTAAGTCTTTCAACACAGAGAGATGAAGGAGGCTTAGTTTACAGGAATCACGAGGAGGGATGGCTTTAAAAACATAAAAACTACATAAAACCTTGCAGCTAACCAAGGTCCAAGTCTTTCAACACAGAGAGATGGAGGAGTCTTAGTTCACATGAACCATGAGGAGGGATGACATTAGCCTTCCTTTATTCTTTGTTCAGCTCCCCACTTGTAGTCTTACGTATCATGACTAGTCTACTATTGTCACTGGGGGGTTTCATTTATTAGCATATGGGGGGTCCGGCAAAAGTTTAGGAGGGTTACCATGGTTATTTTGAGAAAGTGGTTAGAAGGGTTATTACATATTGAGAAGTTTTTTGATGATTAAAGAAGGGCTATGTAATTGATACCTCTACCAAGAAGGGGCGTTGGGTTATGTTTGTAAAGCTTTCCATGTGATTTCGTCAGCCCCCCATCTCCCCCCCTTCCCTCCCCCATGTGGTAATAAATTATGAAAGCCCCCTAAAGATGACAGCGAAGGAGCGAATGAATTTGAATTAGTTTTTTAATGGTAAATTGCAATGTATGTTTTTAGTATTTATTAAAAAAAGCTAAATTTGTAGATATGCTTGTAAACAATACGCATGCGCACAATGCCGCCTCATTTTTGTCCCCAGACCCTCAGTACAAATACCCCAGGTAGCCCAAGCATGTAGTACAAACCAATTTCCGTGAAATTTTGACAAGAAATTGTTAAATCTTGACAAGTGGCTATTGTTTTTTTAAAAGGGTTTTTTGGGCCGTAATTTACTTTGCAGCCTATCTATTTCAATCCATAAAAGATTTTCTAGAAAATATAAAAATCCTCATATAAAAACTCCTCATTGCTATATAAACTATAGCCGCCTCTCGCCTTACCGTTTTGAATAAAATAAGTCTAAACATCAAGTCCATATATTATATAGATAGATACATACTTGAGGCTTTCGCTTTTGGACATAAATCATTGTAACCAGCTGATCTGAAATAGTGACGTAGAAATGACGTCACTGCAAAACTGAGGTGTCACAAACCTCGGATTTCAAAAGGAAAAGTGATACCTCGCTGCTTGAACAGCCGAAACGTCAGGCCTAAATAATAGGCCTAAATTGGGCTACCTGTGGTTAATCTTTGTGTTTAGTTCAGTTTGGAAGCTATCACGTCAAGAATGGCAGCTCTTTCATCTGGCTTCAACGTTTTGCTCTTCTTCGCTATAATAATTTTTACGAAACTAGTTGATGGTGAGTATATGCTATTCCAGACTCAAACACTATCCAGTGCCATTATCAGTGTCAGTTTTGAAACATTTCCCAAAAGCATGAATTTTTCGAATTCTTTCGCCAAAGAAAAATCCTACTTCGTAGATGTCGAAACCTCCTCCGACCGCAGTGTAAATTAAAATGCTTTAGAAAGAAATTGTTTTTAAACAACTTTAAACGTTTATAAGGTTTTACCTGTATCATATTTTGGTGTATTTTAGGTAGAAATAATGAGATACAGTCAATTCAAAAAATGTTGTCGTCGACCGGATCAAGCCTACGCGACTGGACCGAAAGGAACTCTGGGTAGCAATCATTGAAGCCGAGTTGACTGCATAATTTTATCTGACTAGTTATGCCTGGTTTACAGCACGAACCTTCGTAGGCGAGCGGGAAGTGTCGAAGGAGACGTTTTTTGATGCCTTCATATTTTCGAAATTGTGAACTGAATCATAACTACTTTGTTTTTCTTTCCCTAAACCCAAAGACATGCATTTGATGGATTGTTTCTCGCCATTATTATCTTATTACTAGCGGGACCAATTAATTCAGAACGAATATTTAACCGCTTCAGTGATTTTTACCCATATTCCTTTCGGTCCAGTCGCGTAGGCTTGAGCCGGTCGACGACAACGTTTTTTGAATTGACTGTATCGTGATAATGCGAGCACGTTGTCACGGGTCCCAAGTCGAAGTCACTTTTACAGCTCACGCGATTCACAATGTACCATGCAGTTTATGGAAAAGGTTAATTTAAGTAAGCTTTCAGATTTTCATTACGTATATATGGATTGAAAAAGAAAAAGAAAGCCTTAACTTCTGAATGATTCGATGCGCTTTTTGATTTTCACTTCGTCATAATAAAGCTGCATCCTTCCGGTCACTCTGATTTCGATTTTTTAAGCTAGTGAAAACCGAGCCTTGGCTATAATTTTTTTCAATATTTTTATCTGCTATTCCGAATTTTTGCTAGCTTCTTAAAAACAGGAGTATCATTTCAATGTTCGTTATGTATTCGACCTCACAAACCACATTGCAATCTTAGGGTCACGCCGTCACGAAAAGTGAAATGATGCGTGACAACCCTAAAAATGAAGATCTGAGCGTCTTCTCCCGTGACAAGCGTTGACAAATGCTATTTTTTTAGCTTCTTCACAGTTTTCAAAGAGAATAATCCCTATATCAAACCTTCTATTTGTCCATCGCTACATCCATGCACCCATCTTTTTGTCTACATCCATATATCATTACATCAATCCTTATATTAATAAATCCATCCATTCCATTCTTCCATCCATCCATTCTTCCATCCATCCATCCATCCATCCATCCATCCATCCATCCATCCATCCATCCATCCATCCATCCATNATCCATCCATCCATCCATCCATCCATCCATCCATCCATCCATCCATCCATCCATAGCTTCCTTGCATCCTTCCTTGCATCTTTCCTTGAATCCTTCCTTTCATCTTTCCTTGCATCCTTCCTTGCATCCTTCCTTGCATCCTTCCTTGCATCCTTCCTTGCATCCTACCTTCTTTCCTTGCATCCTTCCTTGCATCCTACCTTCTTTCCTTGCATCCTTTTTTCCATCCTTCTTCGTTGATTTATTATAATTTTAATTAATAATTTTTAGCAGCAGTCAAAGAAACTGTGATACCTGAAATAAGCAATGGAAGAATCGAAGCAACACACGGTGGAAAAGTGATCAACTTTTTTTGGACTGGGTGTAACAGCCCAGACTGCGAGACAACTTTAGTGGCTACATTCGAAGGTGGACAATACACAGGTAGCACTGTCGGCCATGCCCTTCAAAGATACCATCCATACTTGACGCCAGACAATAAATCTCATGTGGAATGTTTCTATGATGCGTCACTAGATCCAGATGATGGTAGTAAGAGTACTCCCTGTAAATACCAGGGATCAAAAATGAAGAGGAAAATTAGGTATATCAAGACCTTTAAAATCATATCTGTGACCATCAGTATATGTATCAACCAAACATGCAGTGGAATAAAAGAATATAAATTTGTAAACCCAGGTAGGTTGGATGTTTGCACTCATATTAATAAGGGACCAGTCATTGTTTAAGTAGGAGGGGGTGGGGCTGGAGAAGAAAATGGGGGGCCCTTAATTTTTTTAGTGGAACATGGGGGCCTTGAAAGGTCAAAAGGAGGACTGGAAGGATTGAGAGGATTTTTAAAACGATTGAAGGGGGTACCCGAAAGACATGAATGCTATTAGATTGGGGTCTGGAAAACTTTTTTGCATCAAAAGCATTTTCTCCTCCACCCCAAAGATCCTTAAGGAAAAAGAGAGAGGGAACAATAGACAGAGTCATAGAGAAAGAGAGATTGAATGAATGAGAAATTCAAAAAAACGAAAGTGGCAGGATGAAGAATTGTTTTGTGATTCTTATATTTTTGTTTAATGGGCAAAGCTAATAAAATAAATAAAAAAATAACAAATAAAATGAGAAATAGAAAGCAGATAAAGAACAGAGAACAAGAAAAAGTAGAATGCAAAACGAAAAAAAGAAAGGAAAATGAGGAAAGGAAAATAAAAGGTATTAGTAAATTACAACTGAAATACCGAAAGAAGATTAAAGTAATTAATGTAAAACAAAGAAAAGGAATAGAGATACTTTTTGATTGATAAACTAATTAAAATGGATGTGGTAATGATTTATGATTGTAAATATTCTCTACAGCTAGGAATCCTTGCTACTTCAACAATCCTTGTATGAACAATGCCAAGTGTAATCCAGGTGTTCATAAATACGACTGCACTTGTACTCCTAAATGGGCTGGCAAAAACTGCACAATTAAGCATATGAATAGGTTATTTTCGTTATCAAAGTTATATATCAACAAGTGACTGTTCGTTGCAAAAGGCCTATTAGTTACTGATTGAATTAATTAAGCAGCCTTTAATAATAATAATAATAATAATAATAATAATAATAATAATAATATATGCATTTCTATAGCGCCTTAATTCCTTTGAATTATTTGAGTAGAGACGTTGATACGGCATGTCGTAACGTGTACGTGTACGTGCTGTAAGTCATTACTTTATGTTTCCCACTCAAACAAACAGGAACAGTGGAGCCATGAACTTTTTAACGATAATTGTTTTTTTAGTTTGATTCCGTTATGAAGGGGAAAAAAACATATTTGCACCCCCTTCTCCCCATCAAAAAAAGCATTCCTATAGGAAGCCATTGATTCCAACTGAAAACCGCTTGATCTTGATTATTTCTTATCACAGTGCAGATGCCACCCGGCTTTAACTACACAGCCGGCAAGTGCCTGGACTACGATGCTAAGATAAAAGTGATATTCGTCAGTTCTGCAAAGGAATGCGGTAGCCTGTGTGCTGCTATGAATGACACAAGCAAAACTCTGTAAGTGTTGACAAGGCACCAGGGTACTGAAGAATGTCTGCGCATGTGCGATAATTTGATCTTAATTACTGGTTTCTTACTACCCATAAAGCACTTGGCTCATTTGCATTAAGTTTAAGGGACACTTTGCAGAAACACATCCAGCTGATCCGAAATAGTAAACGTAAAAATGATTTCACTGAAAAACTGAGGTGTCACGTACGAAGCCTGTTGACCAACGATAAATAAAAACATGCCCGTCATTGCAATAAAAATGTAAAATTCATAAATTATTGTGTCGCTGTTATCAAGGGCGTATTAGCAACTTTATTCTTTTATTTTTCACCTACCTTCATTTGCAGACTTGGAAGTCCGTCAATTTGAAATGGAAAGTGACACCTCAGTTTTGCAAATTTTCTCGATTCTGATTGGCTAGCATTTTAACTCAGCTCAGCTGAATTACTTTACCGTAAGTGCAATGAAAGATAACGAGCTATTTTATTCATGTAAATTTAAGTGCCCCTCAAAGTCGAGAACGAGAAACCAGTCAGTACACGTGACAGTCCGCATACCCGCCATGTTGGACGAGGGTAACGAATACTTTTCTGTATTAGTTTGGTTTTGTCGGAATTTTTATTTCATCTATTTATTTCAGGTGCAAATCGTTTGAGTTAAAAAGTCTTCCAACGAATGACCAGAAAAATTGCACACTTCGTGACTCTAACAGCCTCACGCATCGCTTGGTCACGTGTGATAGTGATTACTTCGAAGCAACGGCTTTTAGCAGCCGCCCCATGCCATCAACTGCGACCAATTCAGCACAAATCCCCTACCTCCTGCTACTCATCTCTGTTGCTTGGTTACTTTGACGTAAACAAAAGGAAAGTAAAATCGTCGTACAGTAGTCAGTAAATAGGACTTTTCAAGCAAACAGTCACGTGCTGATATATAACTTTGATAACGAATCACTCAGCTCAAGGTGTCGCTCAAGGTCCTTTGGGGAATGCTCTACTGGATGGCAAACAAACTTTAAACTACTTCGTATCTTGAAATCGAAAGGAAAAAAAGGATTTTAGAAAAGACATTAGCAATCCAGCAAAAAAATCTTTAAATAAAGGAAGTTCAATTTTTTTTGCCATCTAGTAACAATCGCGTGTCAATCTATTGCAAAAGGTCTATAGACCGTTTTCTCAAGGTTACGTTCGCATCCAACTTGACGGGCCACAAAACTGAAAAACGCAAATTCGTCAGTCAAATTGAGAAGACAGTTTTATATTTAAAAACGAGAATAATTGATTTTATGAATTCTTATCGAAAAAAATTTCTTAGCAATGCATGATTATACTCCTGTTCTGGTATCGTGGCCCGTCAAGTTCCTTAAATTTGAATGCGCACGCAACCTTGAGAAAACACTCTTTTGCTGCCTACGTCGTGAGAGATGTAATGGACTGATATAGTCAAGATAGTCCTAAAAAATTATTCATAAAGTTGTTTTTTTTTAATTTTTAAGCATAACATTTAATAAGATATAGCCTAGCAGACAATATGTAAATAACGTTTTTAATGTGTACATTGTCCATGCTTCCAGTGGCCTATTACTACAATTGCATGCACAGGCGGGAGTCATTACCTTGGGCGTAGTGTTTTGCCATTTGAGACCACATGTCATTCCCTAGAGTATCATTACTTTATTTAACAGTCAGTTTCGCATGAGATCTATTGTTTTGTTTTCTTACCCCTCTCCCCAGTTCCCCCTACTTAGGGCTCGGTCAAACGATACACACGAGTCCTGAAGCTGGATGGGGTAGCGCGCGCATTTTGGCACGAAAAACTCCCGCTAAATCAATTCAGGTTTATCGATAAACATATACACGCAGTGCACAACTTTAATTTTCTATGACACTAAGTTAATTCGGGCTTTCTCCTATTCCCCCTGCACCGTCCCAATGTAATCGAATCCCGTGCATATCGTTTTATTGGCCTGGATGACGTAGAGCCTTGAGTGCACTTGACATAATAAATGTATTAAATTTGAGAAAATATCATGATAATAAAATTATAAGGAATTTTTATTAGGCTCGTGTCAGTGATGGTCAGCTGTGCATAAAATTTTTTTTTTTGCTAAGCTTCCGTTACACCGATTTATTACGCAGCGCTCTTTGTCTTCGCGTAGAGTTTCCACACTAGCGCATTACTAATGCATGTGCCGTGGCCCCAAGGTGTAATACACAAACCGCGGCAAATCCAAATTATAGAATACAAATATAATATTCAGGATGAGGAAATGCTGCATCTCAAACGATACTGCAGAGTTTGCCGTTTGGGACCGCGTGAGTTCTAGAGAAGCTTAAGGTGTTTGTCCTTCCTCGGCACAGAATACGAACGACTCTTTTCATTAGAAAAAGATACTCATGACTGGTGACTTCCGGTCACAAATTAAATAACCGACAGTTTTTTGATTTTCGACGATTTTATCGATTGTCGAAAGTTACGGAAAAAAATCGTAAAAAATTTTTTTTAGTAGGCATAAGTTTCAGGTCACCCATCCAGGTACTAATCCCGCTCAACCGGACTTGACTCAGTGTCATGGAAGCCCAAGTCTTTTCCACTGGACCACGGTTCCAGGTGAATCAGCATAACAATGGCCGTGAAAACAATGCACCGAATAGACTAGACTTTTTAACATTATATTTTCAACCGATTCCGTGCGTGGCAGAGATGCAAGGGATTAGCCGATATGGTCTGGGGGCCGGCTGGTCTCTCCCCTGATGCTTCGGCTAGAACATTTTCTTGCGTAATTCGTACACCCAAGGGCAGAAGGATTTAATCGCCGTCAGGTCCGAAGTCCATACGCCGCCTCAGCTCTGCGGATGTCTCGGGGGTATGGCAAAATGGAATCTTTTTTTTTTTAATTCTGTTGGTGGGTTCGGACCACGTCGTATCCAGTCAAGATTTCTATTTTCTGAAATGCATTTAATTATCATTATCAACTTGAAAATTTCTTTTTAATAAGAAGAGTGACTATCCTATATTCATATGGGATTTGTGTTTGTATTGTAGGGGAAAGACCATTAGATAATTGAGGGGGAGGTCGCAGGAATCTATGTTGCACGATTTTTTTTTCTTTTTGTAATAATCCCTACACGCAATTTTTAACTCGTGGGTACGCGAAGGTACGCGAATCGTAGAAACGAGTTATTAGAGAGTTTTAGATTTACGTTCACAGCAAACGTGAAACGTCAGTTGACCAGTAAAAAATTCTTTTAAATTACTGAAAAAGAATCGCAAAAACGTCCAATTAGTAGAAAAACAAAAGAGTATTTGCGCTTGGTGAGAAGGTTTGTAAAAGGTAAAGTAAAATACACGAAAACTATGAAAACGTGGTCACGTTTGCCGTTTGCGGGGAGAAAAAAAAGTCAATCTAAAACTCTCTATTATTGTGTGTTTGCTCAATATTTCTTTTCTAAAAGGAGAGGTTGTGCAATGTAGTTTTTTCGTAGGTGAAGTGCGACATTTTTTTTCGCTCCTCCTCAATTGTCTAATGGTCTGTCCCTAAAGAGCATCCGATTGGCTGTGTAAAGCCGGTTGTCAATCAAAAATATCCCGACAAGAGCGACGGGCGCAGCGCATTTGTTGCAAAACGCAGAACGTCAAAAACTGTTGTGACTTCAGTTTTACCGAGTTTTAAGAGACGTTTTACCAGTAAAGACCACTCAAGATGATTTGTACGCCTAAATTATTCTTGCTTTTGTTTGTCTTTTGGCCAGTACCTGTACAAGGAGGACAAGCCTTCAATTTTGGAGGAAAAGATTTCATTTGTTACGACAGGTCACTGGACGACCTTGCACAAGACGTGAGAAACGACATGCTTTCATTCAAGAATATCTACAAATTTCACTTCAAAACCATCCAACCCTCGGGAATTTTTCTCTTTTCTGAAGGAACCCGAGGAGATTTTATCTCCATTGTTTTGCTTCATTGCAAATTAAGGTTGGACATAATATTGTTTAGCTTTTAGTGACCTTTAGTGTTGAAACTTTCATTCGCAACACACCAAAGGCGCCCGACTTTCTCGGACCCGAACGCAAAGGAATCTCTATACGCTATCGCTTCTTCAAAAATTTCACAATGAAGAAATTTCTTGTTAATCCTTTTTATTCTTTTATTCTTTAGGATTAAATTTTTTTATTAGTTACAACTATAGTTTGCAACCTTTCTTGTTTTCTCTTTGACAGGCGTCAAGTCCGTGGCCACAGCGTCAATTCCCCAGTTGTCAAAAACATTTGTTTTTCTACTTCTTTCTGTTTTTAAATGAGAACAAACTTCTTAATTTTTCTTTATTATACTCGTTTAGGATTTGCTGTAAAAGTCATTTTTATTAGTTTCATATAATTATTTTATTTTGAAATCTTTTCTTGTTTGCCGTTTGACAGGCGCAAAGTCGGTCACGTCGTCAAATTTCAAAATGCCAAAACATTGTTTTTCTCCTAATTCTTGTTTATAAAATACCTATAATGTTTGTTAAATAGGAAAAGGGATATGTGTTTCCTTATGGGATACATACAAGGAGTTCGTCATATTTTTGTCCACGTGTCGCGTACACCCAGCGCGCGGGCGTACGCGACAAACACGTTACTGCGACCCACAATGTATTGCAGACTCTCCGTCTCTCCCTCACAAAGAGTGGGAGAGGCGTAGGGAGAGAATTAGAATACCACCAGCAGGAAACCTAAGCTAGACACAGCATAAACAGTTTCATAACTGACCTTTTTATTAGAAGTTTGCTGCTTATTTTTGTTAACCATAAAAATTACCTTGAATTCTACCCAGTCGCCAGTAACCATGAGGGTCCCTAGTCCAGATGCTGTACCCTCTCCTTTGCCGCTCCGCCTTTGGTTTTTGTCTTCCCCTTTCGCGACACAGGAAGCCCAATAACAAAAGCAGAGCGGCAAAGGAGAGGGTACAGCGTCTGGACTAGAGGGTCCCATGAGTTGGCCATGGGCACATTTGATTTCACCATTTTTGCACCTTTTATAGATTTCCCTTGCTACTGTCACGAGGTACCCTGTAAAATTCACTCCATTTTAAAAATTACTGGAAGCAATTCTGATTATTCTAATTATCCTATTTTGGTTTTATATATGTTTATGATAGTTAGTGGTGATGGAAATAGGTGATCTTTTGATTAATTAAGTTGATGAATGGACTTTAAACTCATGCTTGCTTTATTATTAAGTTCCAACTCTGAGTGGTCCCGAGGAAGGAGGGTGTTAAACAAGAGTTGGCTTGTAACCTTCCTCTATAATTACTTACTGTTATTTGTATAGGAAATCGCACAATCTCAAGTACAATTTAGAAATTAATAGACACGAGTAATGTTTTGAAAGTTCTTGTAATTGCACGAGCCTTTAGGCGAGCACAATTAAAGAACTTTCAAAACATTACGAGTGTCTATTAATTCCAAATTGTACGAGAAGATCGTGCGATTTTTTGTTTATAGTTCACTCAACAAAATTTCAGTAAAAAATGCAAAGCGACACTGTTCATCTTTGTCTATTTGGAGGCCGATTTTCAGTCCATCGCGCAACTGAAATGCATAAAAAAGAATAGTTCTTACAGCTTTAAAATTTTATTTATATGTTTTTTAAATACAAAATGATAGAAAATAATTGTTTTGACATTGTTTTGGCCGTGTTGCCATAGCGACTTAATTCTATAATAACGCTATAATTGTACTCCTCTCGACCAATCAGAGTCAAGTAATTTTGTTGAGTGTACTATAATACTATTTACTGTTCCATAGTAGAATATACCCCTAACCAAATTTATCTATCAAAAATGATTTGAACTTAATTATGACAAACGGAGAGACTAACTCTTATCTTTTTTTGAAGGGTTGTGATATACCGACAGGTGCAGAAAGGTGGCACTCCAGATGAGCTGAATGTTGTCACTGGGAATGATTTATGTGATGGAAATTGGCATGTTGTCCAACTTATACGCAACGGCAGAAAAGCCTGTATTAATGTAGATTACAGCCAAACATGTCACAAGATACCAGGTGAAATGAATATATAATCTTAATTTACTGCAGTTTACCATATTCTGCAAACTCATTAGTTGCCTGCTGCAAAGAAGATCAGTCAATGCCTCTATAATCATGATTGGCAACAGTAATAACAATTTTCACAACAAGCCATTGAAATGTAGGAGTTCGTAGAATGTTGAAAACCACAGTTGCAATTGATTCAGATAAATTTTTTAAAGACATTTTTTCGTTTGCTTATTTTTTTATTCATTCTTTTATTCATATATTCATTTATTTACTAACTAAATTATTGATTGTCAATTTCTTTACTAATCTTAACTCTCATCTTATTTGTACAATAATTATTTGTTTTATTCATATTCTTATCATTAAGTTTCTGATTTTCCCATTTTAAATTCCATTTTATTAATTCATCCCTTCATCATCTTTATATTCACCATGCATACAACCCTTTTTATTCAATTCCATCCCTTTCTTTTCCATCCATCCATTTTCCCTTCCTTTATCCCCCCCTTCCTTCAATTTTCCCTTCCATTCATTACTGATAATACTTTTATATCTAAACAGGGCAGTTTTCATTATTGGACGTAGACCTTCACACTTATGTCTCTGGCATTGACAAGACTGCCATCAAGCCATCTCGCCAATACCGAGACATTCACCAACTACCAAACTACAGAGGCTGCCTTCGAAATGTAATGCTTAATGAAACAAACATTTTGAAAGCAGCATTGAAGAAAAGGAAACATATCAAAGTCTATGGAACTCTTAGTAAAAGGTGCTCAGGACATAATCTTATGAATGTAGTTGGATTTAACAGTGGTTCTTTTCTGCAGCTAGAAACTCCAGCAAGAAGAGCATTACTGCTAAGCTTTCACTTTCGTACATACTATGAAAATGGACTACTGTTTTATTCTCAGTCAGCTTTATTTGCCAAGCTTATGCTGGTTTCTGGTAGTCTGGAGTTGCAGCCTTACATCGAGGATCTACAAGAAATTCAACACCCGTTTAAATTCAAAATAGGGAAAGATCTTGCTGATGGAAACTGGCATATAGTTAACATACGCATCAACAGTAATGGCTTTACTTTGTCAGTTGATCAAGATGAAATTACCTGGAAAAAACCCAAGAAACTGAGGAGTGCAAACCTTTCATCATTTAAAAACATCATCTTTGGACATGGCCTTGGTTTTAAAAGTTTCATCGGGTGCCTCAACAAGATAAAAGTAAACAAAATTCTCATCAATGCAAGCATTGGCTCAGGTCTTCACTTTGGACGGTGTCCTATTAGCAATCTCTGTTTCCCAAATCCTTGCAGACATGACGCCAAATGTATTAATAGAGTCCAACATTTCTCTTGTGACTGTTTGGGTCTATCCTATACTGGCAGACTCTGTTCTGACCCACTTTACAGATCAACATGTCAAGAGTATGTCAAGATTGGCCTTTTGAGGGATGCTATGTGTTCAGTCTTACCAAACAACAATATCTCATCAACACCTTTAAAAGTCTTGTGCAGTATGTTAGGGGAAAGGACGGCAGTAGCTGTAATAGAAAATGGGAAGAAAAGCTGGCAGAAGGTAGAACAGCATATCAGCTATTCAATTGGTGGTTACTTGAAAAGTGATATTCATTACTCTATGAACTTCCCAAACATCAAAGCTGTAATCTCTGGAAGTCGGAGATGTTACCAGTATGTGGCTTTTAATTGGACACATTCTATGTTGAATGTCTCTGGGAATAACTTGGCATATTGGATCTCATCCAGCAAGAAAAATGGTAACCCAGTACCAATTATCACCAATGGTAAGAGTACTCATCTGTTAATTTATGTAATAATAAGCCAAACTAAGTGAATTTGTGAGACAGACTAGCTTGCACCAATTAACCTGCACTCTCACTAAGAAATATTCAGTATCTGGATGAGAGTACTTGTAGAGTACTAGTGCAGAATTCAGAGCTCGGGGCTTTTTTCCACCCCTAAAGAATAAGCAGTGACTTATGATTTCAATCCCTGTAAAAGGGACAATCATCCCTGCCCTTCATTATATGGGAGTTACCCATATATGTGACATGACCATGCAAAACATCTTTCTTTTTTTTCCACATTCAAAATCCTTTACTGTCCAAGAGGGTGTGCCAACATGTGACAAAGAAAACTAGTTCCCTGAACACTTAAATAAATCTGATTTTTCCTCCACACAGGTTATATAAGAGACAAGTCAATGCTTCCTGTAATTGCTGTCATGTTCCATCCTGATGCAGTAGATTCGTACTACTATGTGGGACCTTTAAAGTGTATGGGTACAAAGAAACACTCCAAACCACTGCCATCCTTTGTTGACAGCCGTAGGTTCTTGAAGAATGTGTGCAGTCCTTTAGTTCAATCAAGTAACACCAACTCAGCTTACTCTCCTGAAGATGATGCAAAAGTCAACACAGGATTTATGTCCTTGGAAATAGAGAAGCCCTTGGAGCCAGAAGAGTCAGTAACTTCAAAGATGACGGAGGAACCATCAGTAAGTAGTACTGAAAAAGTGGCAATCACAGCCATAGAGACAAGAAAAACTTCTCACTTCAACATACAAAACAAAAAGGCGTTGCCATCAGCTCAAAACGGAAACCGTCTTTCCTCACATACAGCCTTGACTGAGAGGCCAGAGTTCCTTGCAGCATTGATAGCTGTTTTGGTCTTACTGACACTACTCATGGGCTTCCTCTGTGCTTCTGCACTCAATAAAAGAAAGATGAAAGCAGAGAGAGAAAGAACCTTTAGCTTGTCCCCAAGACTAGACAACAACACAGATATAAGGAGGAAGTCTGTTTGTGATGAAATTGGGCTGCAGCCAGAGTCAGATCTATGGATGAAGGTCAATTCATGTGGTTATGACGTAGAGACTGGGAAGATTACCTACGGATATGATATTTACCGTGTGAGTTAGATCTACTTGGAGTCAGTTGTAAGGTGAGTTACTGCATTAGGCATCAGACTTGGGTTTGGTCTAATGGTTTCTTTTATTGTTTCAATGGTGAGTACAACTTGTCCTTTTATGCCCTGTACGCACTATTGAGACCCAATTGGCCCAACTGGGGGGTGTCTGAATTTCACAACTGCCTTTGCTGCAATTTTAGAACATTGCCTGAATTTACTATTAGCCCATGAACGTGCGCTTCGTTTAAAAAACAAGTGCATGTAACATTTTAAATCTGAATTTTTACATTCTATAAGTCAATTCATTATAGGCATTTTACAGCGCGCACACTCAAACTATGAACACTTTGAGGTTTTTTTTGAAATTTTTTCATAACTATCCATTAAAAGCCGTCTGTAGAAACAAAGGAATCAAACATTTTTAGGCGCCATCCAATCACAACAAACGGCGGAAAATCTTTAGATGTTGTTAGTATGCAAAACTGACAAATTCAATGATTTACAGAAATAAAACAAAAATATCGTTCACTGACGAAGTAGCTGTTAGAATATATTTGATACACTTCATATTTTAATTTTTAAAAATCTTTATGGTCAACAACAACACAACGGAACTCTGGAATCGCACTAAAACTACGTCGGTAAGAATCTGGCTTCTGATTGGATGATTCGAAAAATGCAAAAAAACCTTGAAGTGTTCATGGTT